AAAACATCCCACATTTTGATATATTTTGGCATTTTCACCCTTTATTTTCTTTTAAGAATGGCCGGTAACACAATTATTGGCACCCCAGCTTTTAAATCTTCTGCACAGCGTTTTGACCAACATTAACAAAGTTAACATTTCAAAGGTTTGAAGAATCTTTTGCTCAGTCTCTCCTGATTAGAGGTCTGAAAAATGCCACTTACATTTGACAGGTCAGTCAAACTTACACTTTGACCTCCGTGCCTCTAGTGGCAGAGGAAGGTACTACAAAAACAAACCGAAAATCTGTAACAATTCTCGAAAAAAAAAAAATCTAATTAAGGGCCTCCAGATGATGATCAACAATGCAGTCAAACTTAGCAGCACATACGCATGTAGCAAATATGTTTTCATACGATATTGCCATAGAAACGTCATTAAAAATTTATTCTCTTTTTGTAAATGTCTAGTATATTCTTTTTACTGAAAAGCTAAAAGAAACATATTGTGGTTCTTTAACTTAGCCCAAAAGAAATTTGTTAAACAAATGTAGCTTAACCAGTGAATTTAAACCTTGAGAAATCATCTATTTTCTTTATTTAGCCCCTGCAGATTTCAGGAAACCCCCAATGTTTCTGATTTTAACGGTTGTTATGGAGACACTGTGACACAAAGATTAAACTCTTTGCTGCTTTTCTGTTTTAATCAACCACTTGAGAGCGTAAAATGCTTCAATTGTATTCAGTTGCTTCAGGTGTATTATTGACTCTACACATTTTCTTAGGGGCACCAAAAATTGTGATGTGGGATTTTTTTTCCGCTTTCACTGTATAAATTAAATTAAAAGAGGAGTTTTTGCTAAAATGCTCAGTGCAATATTTTACTACCGCAATAAACAATTAAATGCTATGGGTACCAATAACTGTAGAGGGTGCAGTAAATAAAGTTTTATGCAGCTGAGATGGGCAGGAAAAATAAATGAAGGTCAGTAGAGTAGTTAAACCCCCACTCCTCGTTAAAATAGCACTTTTCATTTAATGGGGGAATAATAATTAATCTTCAATATAGTCTTCTTATTAGATATTTATAGAAATGTAATTCTCCAATATAATAAGCTGTCAATATATTTGTTTCTATTTATTATTTAGCTTAGTGCTGCAGGCAGAGAGAGCTCGGCTCTTTGGTTCGGGGTTTTTTCAAACGCAGTCTGGCTCTTTGCGCCGGTTCATGACTCGTCGGTTCGCAAAGCAAAGCGATTGCACCAATGCAGCTCCGTGGTGGCGGTAAGGTTTCGGCTGATTGTGGAGCTGCGCACCAGCTGTAATGTAGCGCGTCGTGTTCTTCTTCATAATAAGTGAAAATACCTTTACATGAGGGAACGCATCCCTATTTGTTTACCACCGTACCCATATGTTTTGGCTCGTCTGTACCGCTCCTAACTTCTCGCCTCGTAGGAATCTGTCTTACGAACACGCCGTGGACGGCTAATGTGCTGCACAAATGGGCCGTCCAAACAATTTTACACTTTTTTTCCCCCTTTTAAGATGAATTTGTGTGTCCAAACCACATGGAACGATCACCTTCCTTCTGCTTCTTTGATTTGGCCCCTATTCATCTGGGCTCAGTTCAAAAATAATTCTTTTTTTTTTTTTTTTTTTTTCCCCCCAATCAATCTTTCTGAGAAGTCTGAGGAATATTTAGCTTCATATGTGTGTAGAAATAGGGTTAAGGGCAAAGGTTACATAAATTTCTTTTAGGGTATATATGTTAAGTTCTCTCCTCTGGGCCTGCTGTATGTCATTCGTTTTTGGTGCAAAACACATATTTCCATCACCAAGGCAACTGAAATCATAAAAATGAAATTCATAAACAAAGAGACCAAGAAGTTGCTGCAGCAACGCCCATAGTTCAGTATACAAGGCAAACAAACACAGAGTTCTATAGTTTTATCGTTGTCATTCACTAAATATTTAAAACAAGCATCACTTCTACTAGTCGTCAGAAATGGATTTATGTATTTTTCTTCCCAGAATGACTGAATACCTGAAGGACTATTGTTGGGAAGAAAAAAGGAGTGTTTTTCTTCCCCTTGTTTTTTTTTCTTCTTTTTGTGACGCTTCTATTTTCGTCCACAAGATGGAGCGCCGACTCAATAGCACCGAGAGATACTTTGCCAAGCAAGAGTCGGGAGATGAAAGCTTTCCCTCCTGGGTTTGCGCGGTCCATCCATGCAGGGAGGTGGGAGGGGGGTAAGTCGGGTTTAGGAGCCTGGAACGCTGCTCGTCCGCTCATCCACACGCGGATTCAGAACCAATAATCTTTGTGTTCACAGTTCTGAAAGTCAAGGTCCTTCACGCAAAAACATCTCTTAAAAATCCATTCACCCTTTCTCAGTCATTCATTCTCTCACTCGTTCAAAGGAATCCTGCGTTACGTGGGAGCTAACAGTATAATGAAAAAGGAAAGCTCACATTTTGCATTTTCTAAAATCAAAACAAAAAAAGAAAGACAGCATCAATGTTTTCTAACAGTCCTTTCATTGACATTCATCCTGTGTCGTCTCTAATACTGAGCTCGGATGCATAGACCGGATACAGGGAAGGAGAGACGGTGAGGTGGATGAGATGGAAAAAAGAGGTGGAGAGATGGGAGAATGGAGCAGGATGCGGGGAGGAAAGGAGAACTCGCTCTTTGCCAGATGAAGGGGGTTACAATGGCACAAAAGAGACAGATGGAGACAGATCCCACAGTCATAAGAGGAGGAGGAGGAGTGCTGGGAGTGGTCGGGGATGCGGGTGAGTCAGTCACTGGGACAAAACGTACATGGGGGAAGGCAAAACAAACAGAACCTCTTCGATGCCCGGAGCGTCCCTCTGCTGTAGCGCCAATGGACAGACGGAGGGAACCTCATTCTGAACCAGTTTTCAACACTTCGTCTGCTAAAGCCACAGCGGCTTCACTGCATTCCTTCAGTCCGACAAGCCAGAGTCCCTGGGGCCGTTGGACTCCTTCACAACAATATTTGCACAGTTGGCTCCTCGAGGTTCCAGAATCTTTTTTTTTATTTATTTACATTTTTGTTTTGGAATGTTAAGGTTTCTGGAAGCCATTTTTAATCTTGGAAATAGAACGGATTCCACAATCATTTAGATGCTAGTGCAAGGCTGAATCACTGGTCCAGACCTTTAAGTCCGTTCCACTCCAGTTGCTTGCTTGACTGATCTGATGCGGCACTGTGACATAAACCAGGATATTCTGGGCTGGAAATGTGTCCAGTGAACTCTGCAGAAACAGGTTGGCATTTGGGTTATTAACTATACATTTGAATGAGGAAAGAAAGTGGCAGTGACGGCTCCTTCGCCCCTTTTACGAACATCTCCTAAGTGGTAAATGGAAACTGGACGGCAGGCTCGACTTTGCTCTGCTCCGCTTCTAATTGAAGCCTTGATAGAAGAAATGCTTGGAAGGAGCTACACAGCTGCAGTTGCTAAGGTTTTAGCCTAACAGGTCCCAATGCCAACAGGGGCCTGGTGGGTGTAAGAGAGGGTTTCTTTCTGGTTCTCTAAATTGAAAACCAAATCAGTTTTCAAAGTTTCTCAATAAAGCCACACAAGGAGACAGTTTAGCTACAAACTTCACCTCTCTAATTATGACCGGGGTAATTTCTCTATACTGTTTTAAACAACAGTACTGGTCTGTACTCACCCCTTCCTGCATCCATGCCTATTTTGTTCCTTCCTACATCTATTTTGCACCAAAAATCAAGTCACTTCTTGCCCCTGTACATACTTAACTTTATATTGGTTCACTTTTCTTTCCTTGTTATGTGTAAAATATGCATCAACCAGCATTAGTGGATACATATGCCACCTTGGTTGCAAAAGGAATGGAAGAGGTTTGAAGCACATTTGCCAAAATAATCTACAAAAAGTTAAACATTTTCGAGATTTAAGGAGATAGTTATAGTGAAGGCTACAAGTCATTTTTTACAATGACTTGTAGCCATTGTAAGGAAACTGTCTAGGTTGTTCCCAGCAAGGACAAGCCAGGATGGATGGACGGATGGATGGACGGACGGATGGATGGACAGACAATTTCTGATGAGCCTATTGGGTTTGGTTCTGATCTTTTGGACAGGTATCACCTTTAAAACTGTCAGATTTTTGTCAGATTATGACCTCTGATCAAAGCAAGACAAGCTAGCGCATTTCCTGTCTCTAGATATTGTTGAACAGAGTTTGCATTACCTTCCAAAAAACTATGAGATTATACAAAATTTCCCGCTGATGGATTAAAGCCTAATGCATGGTCAAAGAACTTGTTGGGTATGAAACAACCAAAATTAAGGTGGAAGAATCTTTCAAGTTTACTCTGCCATGAAACATATCCAGTCTCTACATTTGCTCTGGTTATACTCCATGCCTCTGAATTAAGACCTAATGATTGGAGAAAAGGTTTTCAAACCTCATCTTAAGCCTTTTAGTGATCTGCAACAATCGTTGAAATTCCAGCTAGGTTCCTGTCTACTTTAAATTAATCCGAGACCTCGTCTTGTTAAGGCAAAAGGATGACTTGGATAATTTCAAATGTAACGAGTAGGAAGACTCACCTATAGGTACTTCACGTAGGTCATTCTAATCTATTAAGGGCATGCAGTGTGACGATCCACACATCCAAGCTCTAATGAAAACTACTGGGGAGACACACCTCACGTCAAACGTAAAACCATCCAAACTTTTGTGCACTAGCTCCATGTTCGCTCTCTGTAGTTGAAGCGTCCATCTATACACACTCACACAAACAAAACATCACTGTAGGTCCTCTGTGGTCTGTTTGTAACAGTTCTTTGGTCCCTCAACACCAGAGACCAGAAATGAATAAAAACCCTGTTCAATAACCAGGTCTGCTTCATGATCTCTGTACAGAAACATCAGCAGGCATGATTGCATCCACACAAACACACACACAACTCGTGTAGACGGTCGTTTTCTTTTCTTTTTTTTTTCCTTTCGTAGCATGACTTTTTTTAGTCAGTGTGTGTGCTGAAAGTGTGTGCATGGACAGTTTGAAGTCCAAGCTTCTCACATCTTTGTACACTATTTTGAGTCTTTGTTGATAGATGCTTTCCATTTATCTTTGTACATGATACATACAGTATAATCCCATTAAACATATACAGTAAATAGACATTTAGAATGTATAAAAAAATAGGAGCAAAACGTAACATCTAAAAACAGATTAAGAAGATAATGGACGACGAGGGGAAACAAAATGCAAAGCGGCAAAAAACGGGATTTCGCCATGTAAACGACCTCTGAGGCCAAAGGAAAGAAAAGTGCTTCGCTTTCCAAGCAGAGTTGGTTCACTTGGTGCCTCTGTGGAATGCTTACCGAAGATCCACGTTCACGGTCACAGCACGAGCAACAAAATGAGGGACATGCTCATGCCTCATCTTTGGTGGCAAAAAAAAAAATAAATAAAAAATCCCCCATGCAGTTTGTCTTTGTCCAATCTGGCACTTCGCTGTTGGGCTGCTATGCTATTGCATTGACCGTGGGGAGGAAAACAGAGCCACAATGTCCAAGTTTACCTTCCTCAGTTTCCCCATCGCAAAACCAATCAACTTCGTAGAGGCCTACAGGTGTTACACCTGTAGAGCAACTGAATCACAGGCAGATTTTGTAATTGTATTCCAATTATTTCTTGAATTAAGTCGATTCCTTGTCCTCAATGGTGTCGTGGTAGATCAGTATTGTTGTAGATTCATGTATGATTCGGATCTGTTGTTAATGCCAAACCAAAAGGAATGTTATATATATATCCATCGTGTATCTCTACATTCCCAGCGTCAATCTCTACAAGTCCATCTGCCCATACATTTTCCTCACTTAACAGGAGTTTTTTTAGATTTACATATAGTTAAAAAACAACCTTTTATCTCCTCTGATGAGTTTGACAGGCAAACACTGAGCTCCAACCCTAGGAAGGACCATTTTGTCCAAAAAATGTGCTCCAATTTCATTGGACAAGCCAAATGGTCAGTCAGAGGTTGGAAAGTTCAGGAACCGTCCTCTGTGTGTGGCAGATTGTAGAGTTGGTTTGTGTTGTAGTAAACAGGATCCAGACCAGGTCAACGTCTAGAAATTGTATTTCCATTCACTGATCGTTGAGTTTGTCGGACGCAGACGGCACCTCCCCTCCCTCGCCGGCCGATGCGTTGGCGTTTGAGAATTCCGTGACACGTCGCGCTAGAGGGTTTGTGCTCTTCAGGAGCTCCATTGCGGACACCCTTGCTCCTCCGCTGGAAGACTTGCTGCCTTTCTTCTGAAGCAGGGCCATGAAGTTCTCGTTGCGAGAGCTCGACCTCTGGCTGCTGCCCAAGGTTAGGTTCCGATGGTCGCTCACAATGGCACTGTGCTTCACGGGCGACACCAGGCTCTGCCGACTGCCAAAAGAATCCGAGGGCTCCTTACGGCCCAGAACCTTTCGCTTGGACCTGGAAGAGAGTCATATAAATTCAAGTGGTTGGAATATTTCTCATTAATTTCTTAAATGCTACACAGTGACTGGTAGTTTAGGTTTTTGCTTGCTTGGCAAAGAATTTCAAGATCGCCTCCTCTGTTGTTTTGATGAAAACATTAACTTATTTCTCAGTTCTCTAAGCAAATTTAAGCTGCACACAAAGTAAAACTATGAGCACTTGTTGCTTAGAGACTGTGCCTGCATCTATAAATGTGTCTATGTGTCTATGAGAGAGAAAAAAGAGGGCAAAGTAAGAATCTCTGGTCAGCAATGTACATGGGGCTGTTGCTAGGGAACTCTGTACTCCTGCCTTCGGTTTTTAAAAAGCCTCTGCGTATGTGGTAAGAGGAAGATTGTGTGTGCGTGTCCAAACCTGTGTATAATGGTGAATAAGTCCTCGGTGGTGTGTGTCGTAGGAGTGCTGGTCAACAAGTCATCTTCCGTTTCCTCAGCGATGTGGAGAGCAGTCTTCTCATCGGCGGCTAAATCATCTGATCAATGCATAGGGATACCATTATAACAGGGCTCGGTTACACAAAACATTGATAACATGTTAAAATCAATGAGTGAAAGCTGTTCCTGCATGAGCCTTAAATGCCAGAAAACACTGCTCATGAATACATACCTGCCCCGATACCAGTGCTTGCCATCTTTTCTCCAATTTCCGTGAGAGAGGAATCCTGGAGTGATGACTGTAGAGATGACTCTTTTGAGCTGTTCTCATCTGGTCCCAAGTGGTTTTCGTCCTGCTCTGACATGTCAAGACCAGTAGAACTAGCTGGCATGTCATCTGGTGCAAATGCTCCAACTGGAGACCGCAGACCCACCGGGCTGTCAGACTGTGGAATTTGCCGGTCTGTACTCCCATTAGTGGAAGGGTGTAGTGGTGTGGGAAGGAGTAGGACATTTGGTTTCTTGGGAACTGGAGGCGGAACCTGGATAATGGAGTGTAAATTGTGTTTGTTTTACTTTGCTTGACAGCAGGTGATTTAACCATCTGTGAATTAGAGCAAACAAGTAGTATCCTACTCACCTTGGGTTTCTTTTTGTCAGACAGTTCGGCCAGACAGGAGATTGTCATCCTTGAAGGTAAAGTCTTGCTCTTGTCTTGGAGCTCAGGGCCCTCTTGGGAGCTGCATGGAGAAGGAAGTGAACCGCCATCCTCGGGTGCTAGACGGATATCTGGTTCTCCGTCAAATTCAGGTTCCAACATTGGGTCTTCCAGCAAAGGTTGGGGATCAGGGAGTGGTGGGAGGTCAAACAGAGACTTGGAGTGAGGAAGGAATGGGTGGTCATAGGCAGTGGGTGGCACACTGGCGGAATTCAAATCTGGGGGAGCGGCAGGACTTGTTGGAGTCTGTGGTGGGGGCTTTTTGGGTTTGGGCTTTTTCATGACTTTGTAGATGTTGCCAAGAGGCACTGGACGTTCCACAGGTGAGGCAGGAGGAGATTCAATAGCAAGAGGGGAGGTGGAGGAAGGAGAAGGAGACTTAAGGAGGAGGTTCATGGGCCGTTTGGGCAATGGAGGCTTGACAGCTACAGGTGGTTTAGGCTTTGGTAGAGTCGGTGGTGGGCTTGGGTTGTCGCTGATGTCTCTGCCATGCTGCTCTTCTTCAATTGTGTCAGAAGCTCCATCGGGGCAGTCCTCCAGATCTCCTCGCGAAACAGACCGAAGTCTAATGGTCTTTAGCTCGTTCTGGGTAACCATAGGTAATGCCTGTGAGGAACTGGGGCTGGTTTTTCCTGGTTTGGCAGCAGTAGAGGTGTCAGAATGCCGCCTGCTTGCCTTCTGCTTTGGCTTTAGCGATGACAGCTCCAAATGTGCATTACCAGGCATTTCAAACGACAGTCTAGACCTGGCAGCTGGGTCCTTAGGTGACGGTAGCGAAGATTTCCTTTCTGGGATCTTTGGACGCATCTTGCACCCTGTCGTACCTACTGTCCCATGATTCATGGGAACTGTTGGAGTAGGAGTCTCTGACTGACTGGAATAGCCACTTGAGGGAGATATAAGTCCTGGAGGCTTTAAGGGTGAGGAAGCCTTAAGGTCGGTCTCCATGGATAACTGTGAAGGGGACGTGGCTCTGGACGTGGAGGGAGAATCTAGAAGAGACTCTGAGCTACTTCTCACTTTCATACATTCAATCACTGTGGTACCTGTTGCTGTGCTGGAGCCTGATAAAGACCTGAGGAAGAAGGAAGAATGATTAAAAAGCAATAATTTAACTAAAAAAATGTACAAAGTGGAGTACATTTAACACATTTATTAATCTGAGGCTTTTTTTTTTTTTTTTTACCTGTAGGGGTCATTACTCTTCCACTCTCCCAGCTGCCAGTGAGTTGGGAAGGTCATCTGTGTTTCTCCTTCCCTCTCAGGTGCCTGGACTTCCAGACTTGGAGGTCCATCGTTACCCCCTTGGCCCAGCTCCCTTTCCCCTACACTGGCTTTAGAGGAGCAAGAAGAGCTTGTCAAAAGGAAATCTGGCTGGAATTCTGGGAAGTTGTCCCTGGGTATGTGCAGGCTCTTTGGTCTGCCATCTCGGTAAAGACCGCCCCCATGCCTTATTCTGCCCTCCGCTTCTCCAAGGTTTTTCATTAAGGAAACACTTCTCACAGGGGGTGGGGGCTTGCGCTTGGACTTCTTAAGTGAGATCGAACGAGAGCGAAGACGCAAGCGTCCTTCTGTGCTGTAATCCGAAGCCGTGACAGAAATAGTGTCGGTAGTACTTGCACTATCCTCAGAACTTCCTCTAGGGTAAAGAAGGGCATAGTTCTCCCCGTGACCCAGATAGTTATGATGCTCTTGATGGTGGTCCATTACCATAGTGTTCCCATTACCAGTAGTGGTGATGGTCAAGTCTGGCTCTATCCCACCCTCTGTAAAGCAAAAGGACCCGGAATCAGTGGGCGTGGAAAGGGAACGTTCCCGGAACTTGAAGGCGTTTTGAGCCGCTATGGATCGTGCTGACCTCTGCCTTCCTCGCCCTGCCTCCGCACCACCCCCTCGCCCTCCGTCTGCTGGTGCCCCCTCTGTTTCCCTCCGTTTTCCCACTGTGACCACCGGCGGAGAGATCCCTGACCCGCCGTTTCCTGTTCTCCCAGTCGGGTCCGTCACACACGTGAACGAGCTGGAGTGTGAGCTCACAGACTGTCCCGAGCTCACCAGCATGACCCCGTCCTGTATCCCACCAGCATGACCGATGACACTGTGATGTTTGGGAGGAACTGCTGGACCTTTGCTCATGTTGTAGTTGTACGTCTCATTCCACGCAGCAGGAGAAAATGTGGATCCTTTTGGGCCATTCCAGGTGGATGAGGGTGTGTTGGAGCACAGCAACCCAGAGTGGTCCATAGCTGCTGTATGAAGCAGCTCCGGGGGGCGTTGCCCCAAACGGTTATCTGTAGGGGGCAAAGGAGCAAGAAACAACTGAACGTGTCCACAATTAGATAAATGTTACCTGTATTTGATTCTTCTCAAACTCTTTTTATAAGTCTCATTTAACTTTAACTTATACTTGAAATCAAATTCATTTAATTATTTCCTCTCCCTCACTGAATCCAGATTTATGTTTTTCTGACAACTGAACCAACCTGTGGGCAGGGTTGTGTCAAGCTCTGAGTGTGTCTTCCTTATTGGGAGGTTTTGATGTGGTGTGTCCGTGAAGAGCTCCAGAGAATGGGGCTGCTGGGGATAGGAGTCCCCAGGAGAGGGGGACGGGGAAGGGGAGTGCTGCAGGAGGTCGACACCGTGGAATTTCACTGCTCCCACTTCACCTGGAGGAGACAGACGAAAGCAGACAGTTAGCATGCGAAATGGACCTTCTGGTGCATTAAATGTGACCATTTTTTTCCACATTCCATTTTGGTCAGTTCTGTTGCAATTTTTTCTGCCCAAATATTGCAGCGACTTATACTAACTACTAGGGATGAATGATATATCAGTTTCAACATCTGTATCAGCCGATGTTAGTCATGTTTTACCATATTGGTATCATTCGTCTAAGTAAAACTGGACCAATACAAATGTTTATTTCCATCTTGTTGTACGAGTTTTGAATGGTCATGTGGCATTAGTTCGATCAATAACAAGTATTAATTTTGTGTATCAATATCAGCCCAAATTTTTAGATTGGTGCATCCCTACGCTGCAGTGTTAGAAGAGAGGCTTAAATGTGGAGTCAGATGGTTTTCTTTTATTTTTGTTTTATTTTGTATGTGTTGTTGTGAACGACCACGAGTCTCCTGAATAAAGCTTCTCTCCTTTGGGTTAGATTAAATTGTGCAAAACAAGTTTCCCGGTTATTGTTGAGCAGAAGACATTTACACATTTGTGACGTGCGATTCCTCTTGTAAAATCAAGAAAGTGGCGTAGAACGAAGATTTCAACTGGACAGCCTCCGTTGTGTATATGTTTTACAACGTCTTTAAACCCAGGCAGATTTGCAGCAGATGCTGACAGAGACCTGCTGCTCTGTTGTCCGTTTGATGTCCTGTCAGCGCTGACTCATTGGAGGCAGCAGCTTCGTCCCTTTATTACCTCGTGAACAAACGGCTCACTTACTCACCCCGCTGCATATTTCTTCTTCCATATTTCCTTGTAAAAATAACATCTGAGACAAAAATTGTGCAACTGAGTGAAGCGATATCATTTTCAAGGTGTGAAGGTCAGTGTGCAAAAAAAAAAGTTTGCAAAATAAAAAGAGGTAAAAAAAAAAAGCAAATGAACAGAAAAATAAGCTGAGGTAACTGAGGATTATTATACAACACTGACACCAGTCAGGGTTAGCAGCCAGATTACAATTTAGTTTCTAACAGAGAGATTCAACGATTGTGACTGACTTTTATGCAGGTTCAGTTGCACTTAGTTATATTTATTTTTGCACTAAAAACAATCAGACAGCTCTGCACCATCTGTGAGACTGGTGCAAATGGGCAGCGCTTAGGCTAACTTCACTTAGCAACTCTTAAAAATGAGAAACACAAAAACATATACATATTTTAAGGAAGTGGGAAAATTGTGTTAGTGGAACTTTAACTGGAAAGGACCCAGGTTTATGTTGCCACCACTTGGTGATGAAGACAGAAAAGGAGGTAAAAGTTTCCAAAGTTTAATGTTTAGGGGACAGCAGCTAGCATCGATGGTTTGGCAAGTCTCCATAGCAACCAGGAAGTGGCATCTTAATTGAAATTTGTTGTTTCGGAAGATTATCAGGATTTCAGGAAAACATAATTATTTTCCTACCAACAAAAATGTTTGCTAACTGCAACTCCCAGCTGTTGGTGTGCACTAAAAGATGGCTACTGGAAAATATGCAAAAAGAAAAAAGAAAAAAAAATAAACAGCCACGTTCTAAAAATGAAGGGAGCGTCACCCCTCACTTTTATTAACCCTGCTTTAGCTTTAAACTAGCCTCTGGACAGAAACCAGCTTCATGCTTGACACCAGCAGGACACACTTGACAAGTTGTGTTGTTTATAAAGAGAAAGAAATCTGCTCACTTTAAAGCCATAAATTTAACAAGTGCTTATTTCATAATTTGGCTTTAATCAAAGTACAGTGGATTCCTGGTACTCGCAGGGTTGAGGGACCACAGCCAAAAACACTTATGAGTATCCATTTTAATAGTTCAAACACCAAATATGCCTCAACATGCATTAAAATGCACAGTGGAAACCATCTTAGAACTTATTTCTGTTCTTGGGAGGGACAGCCAATCAGCTCAAGGGAGAATAAATGCCGCTCCTGGATTGGCTGCTTTGTAAACACCAGACAGTAGCATGCTAACTAACTGTGGTGATGGATGTATTGGCTTCCTAAACTGCATTTTATTTAGATTATTTTAGACATGTTATACGGAAAAAAAATTAAGTAAATAATTTTAAGTTGTCCCACTCAAAAAATAGCTGAATTCATAAATACTGAACCCCGAAACGCTGTACTAATGAGAATCATACTTGAATATGAAAAACTGTAGAAACATGCAGCTTCGATGTGGAAGAAAATTCCTTTATCTTAACAACTTAGGGCCCAAGAATCAGCACTAGGTCACTCTCTCAACTCTAAACGTGAACCAATAGCATCAAAGAAAGAACAGCAAATAAAAAAAGAGGCTTTTTTTCCTCAATCTGCTCCACTCTCCCGTTTTCTCACTGGCTAACAGTCATTCATGAAAATTGCTGGAGCGAGATGGGCAACAGCGGCAACACTGAGGCCGAAAGACGAGTGGAGGAGGAAGAGGAGGGAGCAGTGACTAACCTTCATTGATCCTTTTTTTTCCTATCCCTCCAAACACAATATTTCAACCACTGTCATCCATTTTACTCATCCACAGTTCCTGCTTTCTATCTGACACGTTTCTTCTTCCTCTTCTGTTTTTGGCAGGGTTTTTTTCTTCTCTCCATCTTGGATGGAGGGGAGAGGAAGAGTGTGGAGATGCCATGGTAACAGTAAGCCGTCTGTGAGCTACCTGTTCGCTGGCTTTCAGCATAAAGAACGCCGGAGAGGAAGGTGAGCAGGTTTAATAGCAACAATTTGAATGAGACACAAGATTGATTTTTAAAGGACCAAATATGATGTTATAAACATTTACTTCTGTAAAATAAAACATGCAGCTTATTCTCAAAAACACTGTTCTAATGAGCCAATTGGAGATTGTAATCAGTGTTCATCCGCTTCTAAAAATAGTACCAAAAAACTAATACTTGGGTTACACACACCTTTAAGTTTTTGAAATAAAAATAAACAGCCTATGACTTTCGCATAATAATAAGTCAATGGGCAGCTTGATCAGAAAAAATTCTGTGTTGGTTTTTATACTATTTATTTTTAAAAAAATGAGTTACTGCTTTATTTTATATTTGTATCCAAATACTTTGCTTGTAAGTTTTTTCTGTTTCTTTTTCATCCTGTCTGTTAATGTGGAAAAAGTTGAAACTACAATGTACAGTTCCATAAAAAATACTTTTGAATTACAAAAAAATAAATTCTTTATCTCAGTGGAGATGCACCAAATAATCAACCAGAGATCAGAACCGGCTCGTTTGTTTTTTTGTTTTTTTCTTGATTGGCTCCGATTCGCAACTTAACTTTTTCAGGTTTTTTCCATTAAAAGCGTTTTCGATCGGAGGCTTCCCTTTCCACAGCCGACACAATCTACGATAACTCTTTGAGTAATCTGGATTTAATATGAGCTACGGCAACATTTAAGTCCCATTTGGGATCAATAAAGTATTTTTTTAATTGAATCACTAGGTTTTCCCACCATTTTCTCCTCTAAGCATGTATTTGATTCACTTTCTTCATTCTGATGGTTAGATTGTATGTTTTTATGCATTTACAGGCATAAATTCTTAAATACCTCGCTTTCTGACGAATTAAAAATGACTTCCTGTATCGAAGACCCTTCAGGACATTTTATTTTCCTCTTTTGCATCATCCTTAGCATAAATCAACCAGTCAGACCTAGAAGAAAACCATAAATCGGTATCGACCAGGAAGCTTTAAGTACCCCCCTTTTCACCGCTCGCCTTTTATCTCTGACAGAACAAATGCCCGCGCAATTCAAGACCGCCGGCGTGGATTAATTCACCTGACCTTCTTCTCCTCTGAAGCTCCCGCCCTCACCACCCCCACTGAGCGGAGAGGAGGAGAAAGAGATGTTTAACTATAGATGGATACGCTGGAGAAAAGGAGGGGAGAGGCACCTGGTGACGAAGCAGTTGCTATGCCAAAAACCAGGAGGTCCGCGCACACACTCAGAAACACACACACATACGGGAGACGCAAACAAGAGGAAGCCTCGATTGAGACGAGTGGAAGTGGCGGGGTCAGAGAGATGCTGCTGAGGCTGACCGTGGCATGCTGACAGCACATACACACACACACACACACACACACACACATCCAAAGCAGAGGGTCTGGCAGAGAGTGGCGAGGGCGTTATGCAGTCATGAGGAGAAAATGTTCTTGACGTCGATTCTTGTTTCAGCAGAGCAGACTCGCGATAGGCTTGTGAGAAAATGAAGTCATCCTGATTTGAGAGAGACTAGCGCCTGTCTACACCAACCTGTTAGCTGTGGATGCAGAGAGCAGTGAGGCCATATATTGTTGTGTTGCTGCAAACTTTAATGTATGTCATTGAAAGGCACAATGTAGGGAATAATGGCAAAGTGAAAGAAAAATGATTTTTTTCACTCAGTCTCCCTGAGTTAATGCTAAGTAGAGCCGTCTTTCAGCACACTTACAGTTTCAAATCTTATGTCTCTTCTGTTTCAAACGATCTTCTTCACAAGAAGCCCTCCTACATATTCTCAGTTATATTTAGGTCTGAACTTTGACATGTCTTATGCTCCAAGGATTTCCATGTATTTGGCTCCATCCGTCCTTCCATCAACACTCACTGGCTTCCCTTGACGCGGCCCACCCTGTCGATTTCGGTGGACAACCATATCTTGTTAGGTTTTTGTTGCAGTATTTAAATTTTCATATGATGGCTTGAGTGGTTCTCTGTCAGATCTTCAAAGTTTGGGACGTTGTTTTATAACCGAGTGTAGTTGTCATGCCAGGCCACCAGATGGCGCCGTGATTTTAGCATGTCATCGGGCGCGCATGCGCTTTATGCCCGTGTAACTGTCAGTAAAACCCTTTAACTGAGAGTAAACAGGCAGGATGATGACTGTAATGTATCCTAATTTTAAAAAGGTTTATTTTACTACCATCTGTTGATATAATTTGGATTTTACACTTTCAATCCTCAACAATGAGAGGTATAGAAAAATAAGGAAGCAACAGTGAGGAGAAAAAACAAAAGTAGGTCATACACGGTTTATGGGGCCATCCAATGCAAGAGGAAGGCTCCTTCCTCGGAGGCTCATTAGGGCTGTCAGCTCCAAGAAGTACAGTAACAGGGCCAGGTTTGAAGGTAAAGGCCCTACGTTAGCCTACTTTTGTACTCCAATGACCTGAAATAATAATATTGGTGTTTGTGTACCATCTTCAGTCAGTGTTTCGCTCAGAAAATGCAAAACAAAAAAAACAAAAAAAAGTGCCTTGATAAGATTACGAATAGTTCCTGTTTCATTGTGTGCTTATTGACCTGAGGACATAATGTCACCTTTTTAAGACAGAGTTCTTGTTAAAATCAGAATCGACCATAAAGCAGATAGGAATGACAGCAGTTCATAACAGGTTTTTAACCAGTTTTCAAAATAAATGGCAGTACAGCCTCCGTTCACGGTTAGTGGCACATCTGGATTTGTAAAAATACATCTCAGTTTTCTATAGTAAACTTATTTCTAAAGATGGCTTTGACATAAAATGTTCACCAGGTGATGGTAGAAACTAAAGTAGTCCATACATAGAAAGAAACCAAAATGAGCAAGTTCAGAATTTAAGTTATGTGCAATAATGTGAAATGGAGCAAAGCATGGACAGCCAAGAAACCAGCCGAAGTCCGTCAGTCATCAGAAAAGGCCAGAGCTCCTCAAAACGCTTTAGCATTCTTGCGTTTTCGATATGTTTGCCGTACCTGTAACGTCGAGGGGCATGCAGTGAGCCGGCGTGCGTCGTAACGGGTGCCAGCGCGGTTTCTCGGCGACGGGCGGCCCCGTGGTGGCGGACGTAGCTGTGCTGCTGCTGCTGTTGTTGCTGCTCCAGCCCAGAGGGGGGCGATCCGAGCCGCAGGGGGACGGGGTCGGGGAAGGTGACGGGTTGACCACAGACCTCAAGCCAAACACGGAGGAGGTGGTTTCATCTTCGTAGAGCTGCTTTGACGCCGGCTGGAAGAAAGAAGACGTAAAAAGGGAGGTTGTGTTTTTCTTCAACAGGAATATTGTCTTAATAGGTAAAGAAACACACGGAAACACGGCGGTTACTTTAAAGAAATTAATACCTTTTGAATTTTTTTTAAACATATTTTCAAGTTTTTTTTAAACATATTACAGATAAAATCCAAGTTTGACTTGAATTTCTCTTCATCCACCTTTACTCTCACACCCCTGAAAATAATTGTGCAATAAATTCCTCAAGATGCATTCATAATTTTTTGCTTAAAAAAATTACAGCTACAAACCTACCAGGACATGACCGGCAACTTAAACTGACCATGGGTGCTACCACAGCAAACAAACCAAAACAAAATAAAAGATAGGAAGAAAGTAGGTCCTCTGCTCAAAAAAAGCATTTAAAATAGTATGGATGGAGAAAATCTGAAACTGAACATCCTCCTGAACACACAAGCCCCACTGTGAAACATGGGGATGGCTGAATCATGCTGTGGGAATGCTTTTCTTTAGAAGCGTAAGCTATTCAGAGTGGGCTGGAAAATGGATCCAGCTAATAACAGAGCAACACTGTGAAACCTTCCATCAGGAAAACTAGAAACAAAAACACAGAGCTACAATAAAATGACTTAGATGAAGCACTTGGGCTGGGCTACAATGGCCCAGTCAAAGTTCAGATTAAAATTTAATTGAGAATCTATGCGCACCACAGAAATGTTGAACAGACTGCTGAAAAGACTTGCAGGCCAGGTATCCCTTTCTCCACTTTTCCTACTCGGTGTCAAAATCTAACACAAACTTTCGTGAAGTTTGTGCTTTTGACGTGACAAGATGTAAAGTTCACTGCTTCTGCAGTGCAGGAAACACTGCAGTTCATCTTTAAAGACAAACGTAAAAACCCCGTCTGTCTGCTGCTGCAGAAGCGCGGGGAGCGACGACAGCTTAACGGGAATCGGCCAAAAACCCAAATAAAATCATTCGATTAACAGAGCTGTAACGGGCAGGAAGTGTGCTGCAGTAAACGCGGCGTGAATTCTTTGTGACGCCGTCCAAGAAAACAGTCTTAGCAGCCAGAGTACATCCAGCTACAGATACCGTAGTCATAAGACGCATTCGTCCTAAAATATATAAATATATTAATTTCCCCTCTTACTTTAAAAAAACAAAAATCCATTAGTAACAGCTTTGTGTACAGGAGATGCCTGTCAGACAGCACTAATGTTATCTGGTGTTTTGATTTTTTACTTTTTTTCCAAGGATTATAATAATATTTCCATCTGGAAGACACTAAGTCATTAAGGATCTGTTTATAGACAGCAGCTGAGAGAGAGAAGAGCATGATGACTAATTCTGGTGAATCTGAATGAGGGGGTGGATCGCGCTGTACAACAGATTTTCGGCTAATTCACATTCAGCCTGTTGTGTTAACGGAATGATAAACATAATGAGGCGTTCAGTCACAACACAACTTTTAGCTGTCATTTGCTCGATTCATGGGGGGGGAAAAAAATCATAATAATAATAATAATCACGCTGTATTGTTTTAGTGATTAAAGTCTGAAACTGGAGCGATTGAAGTGAAGGGGAAGTAACACCAACCAAGGTCACACCGAACAAACTGGAAAACAGAGCATGAAACTTGTTTAAATTGTTCCTGTCGTTTAAGTTTTAATTCACAAAATGTCAATGAAAGGTCCTTTGGCGAAACTTTACTTTTCACTTTGCATTTTTATCCCAAATATTTGAATTTAGAGCAGGAAATATCTTATGAATTGACGTGAGGATGCACCTGTAGCTACAACATAAGCAGTACAAAACATCCCATCGGTCACAGCATACAAAAAAAACACATTAAACTACAATAACTAAAAATCCAAAAGGTATTTTCAATTTCATGTAATATTTTGTGGAATCTCTTTGCCCGGGTAAACATAATGGGTTTGAGAGCGCCGAGTGGCGTTCGCTAAGACTCCGAACAATCTAAGATCTAAGAAGGACAATTGTAGATTTAAGCAATTAATTACTGGGTTCAAACTATTTTACAGAAATACAATTTATCTCATGCAATGCCACTTCACCGAGGTGTAGAAGAATAACCAAACAAAGAAAATTGGTACAAAAGCCAATTCGTTCAAACCTTCAGGAGCAACATAAGACACCCCAGGTATGTTCAGGTCTGCTAGAAAACAAACCATGTCATCTTCTGAGGTCAAGTTGATTCTCTCACCACTTTTGACTGGGAGAAATAAGTTCCTGATTTGAAATCAATCAACAAGAACCAGTTGGGTCTGGTTCTTGTTTTCTGCCTCGGGTATTGATGACACCTTCTAACTTCATGTTAGATCAACAGTTAGCGCTTTGGCATAACGGCACAATGATCTCAGTCATCCAAGCAATAAAGGCATCATCTCTCCATCATGAATATTTAGTATAATTTTGAGCTATGAATACAGTTTAGTCAGCAGCTAAACATCTGATGCACTGGTTTTGAGCAAAACTTGAGAAATACAACGTAGCGTGGAAAATGATCCCCTTGTGGTGAGTTAAGGACAAAGCAACTAACCTGAAAATATTCAAGCTCAGTAAAAACCAACTTACTTCACAAGAATTAGAAGAGTAATTGCAATAGTTGACATAGCATCAAAAATAATCAAGCAGAAGCATTAATTTGCCATATTTTTGTTGTGCAGGACATTGTTTTGGCATAACCCAAATCGTAGTCATGATCAAAATATCATTGTCACAATTTCAAAGAATGTCTTTGTATGAGATTGTATTTAAAGTGTTTGCGCTCTCCATGCAAGTACTATTTGTGTCCAGTTGGATGGATCTGCAACTGACCTGAATGCCTACACCTGATGTGTTAGAGGCACTGTGTCTTAAAGACAGGAAAAACACAGCACAATATTATGTTCCTGAAGCTGTACACCCCTGCTAGCCAGCACAGAAAGACTCTGTGGGATTTCATAGAATGGCAAGGTTTTGAAAAGTTAGAGAAATAAAACACTAAACATCAATGTGTTAAGCTAGTTTTCACAGTGTAGACACAACCTGACAACCTGCTGAAGTTCAAACCAAGCGTCAGAACGGAGAAGGAAAGGGAATGAACAAAGTGGCGTAACGTTTTTGTTGGTGCCAGGCAGGCTAAAGCATCTCATCTACTGGCATTTTCACACATAACCGTCTCTCGGGTTTACAGAGAACAGTCCACAAGAGAGAAAATATCCAGGGAGCAGCAGTCAGTTGCCTTGTTGAAGTAGGAGATCAAGTATAGCTCACATAGCCACTCAAGGTGTGTGTGGAATAGCATCTCTGAACATACAACATGTGGAACCTTGAAACAAATGAACTACAAACCAAGTACCACTCCTGCTGACTAAGCTGGGTTGGTTCTAGGGATATTTGAACATCTCAGTAGCAAGTGAGTGATGTTTGAATACGTTGTGGACCATGTCAAACCATTTATGACCACAGAGTACCCATCCACTGGTGGCCACTTCCAGGTTGATAATGGGGCATGTCACCCAGTTCAAAGCCACCATCGTTGTTTGGGGCGACGGTGGTAAGAGTTTGTCCGTAATCAGGGAGTTGCTAGTTGAATGAGAGTGAATGTGTATGTGAATGTTGAATGTAGTGCGACACGCTTTGGAGTGTACTCTGGACTTGGTGAAGCACTTTACAAGTACAGACCATTTTACCATTTTACCATTTACCATAGTCACCAGACCTCCATCCAACACAGCACCTTTGGGATGGTGTCAGACAAGGCGATTCAGATCATGGATGTGCAGCTGACAGATCTGCAAAACTACCTGAAGTCATTTCTCAACCTGGACCGATATCTCAGACAACTATCTCTATGCTACTAAGAACTGAGGGAATCTTAAGGTAACAAGGACTTTAGGTGATCACTACTAACCACGTGTTTTTGTTTACCAGCAAAACAAAGTGTGGAAAAGATTTATAAAGGGGTTCAGCAACACGAGACAGGAAAAGGCTTTGTGTCAGAACCTGCATGCGTGTTTGTTTACCAGGAAGATGAAGTCCGGCCTCTTGCTGTTGAGAGAGACTGGCGAGCGGCTGAGCGACGTGGACGTGTCGTCTGAGCTCTGCGAGGATGGATGGCGAAACGTCTGGCCGGTCAGCTTGGTGTCGTACAACTGCTCCTCAAATTCTGCACGTGCGCACAAAAACACACAGTGAGAGGCAAATAAACTTAATCTGGAGCTCACAACACAAACTCACACACCAAATATTTTAGGCGCATGGCTGAGAGCAAAGATCCAGCAGAGCTGTTGCTTCACATCACAGGGAAACCTCCCTCCTGCGAGTCCCCGGCGCACCTTCTGCCAGCTTAACAGTCTGCCTCGGTTTACATTTAATCCTCTCCTGGGTTCTCCTGACTCTTGTTCTCCTTTAAACCAAACATTCTCCGTCGAGTTACCCTCTCCTTTTGGATATCTGAGTTTCTCCCTCTTGCCAGGAGCTTAAACTCTCCCCCTCCAGCTATTGTAAACAGATTCCTAAAACCCCCATCCACCCCCACCTTCCTAACCACACACCCACTCCCCCTCACAGCCCTTCAGCCAATCCTTTACCCCCAAAACACACTCCTGACCCAAACCCCAGTCGCCACTGAGCTGTCTGACACACATGTGCACACACGGACGTTTCCAATGCAATCCTGCTGATGAAACGGCGGCATCAGAAAGACACGGGTTTTAACTTGAACACGGTTGAATACCAGCAAAAAACAGAGTAAAGAAAGTTGGAGGTGTTTAGTATTGGGCTGACATGTTATCTTAGATTACAACACAGTGATCACTTCTTGGGCTTTTGGGAAATGGCCTGTTTTTTCCAACAGAGGACGGCTGCAAAGCAACTTTTCAATGCAACTGTATAGTTTTTAGGGGGATCACAAGTTTCAATTAAAACATAAGGAAAGGTATTTAACCCTCCATCTATCTGCCTTTACAAGAATAACTCAAGCTTCGTCAAATGAGATGAAAAGCATCTGTGAAAACCGATTTTCAAGTCTCACTGTAGATTCTCAATCTGATTTATCCCTGGACTTTGACTAGGTCGTTCCAACGCATGAATGATTCAAATCATCCTACTGCAGCAACTTCTTCTACATGTTTGCAGTAATTAAACTAGATTTCTTCTGGAAAAACTATGTCAAATCTGCAAAATGCAGGACTAATAAATGTCCTTTTCAAAGATTTGTCCATGGAGTGGACTGAGCGCCCCTTAGTCCACGATTAGTTGTGATAAACAGACTTTATTTTAGAAACATTTCTTTTCAGATGTAAAAGCAACACAGTTAAAAATATGTAGGCTGTTTAGTTTTTATAAATTCAAATACAGTCGCTCAGACGTCGCCATATCGTTTACACTGCAATGCATTCTGGGTAGATGACGTATGCTAGCTGCGTCCTACAAAATGACTGTTTCTGTCCAGCTGAAACAGTCATTTTTATGCATTAAGTAACGTTCAGCCCTTTCACTGTCACTTTAATCATCCAGTCATTATCTGCTTTGTCACTATGAGTTTTGATTTCACGTTAGCCGCTGCTAACGGTGTTAGCCGCTGCGGCTAATGATGTTAGCTCCTCTGGCTGATATAGTTAAAACAAGCTGACCACGCCTGTTTGTTTCAGCAGAAATCCCATGTATAACACCACATAAAAACTTTGAGGCAGTTTGTCTCAATCCAGACGTTTTGTGGGCTGCTCTGGTCAGCATCCATGACCTTGACTTCTTGAGTTTTATCAATAAACTCGACAACATTTTTGAAGTAATTCTTACTTTTTACTTATCACAAACTACAACGTATGGTTGATAGGAAAATTACAACAGACCAACATGTTCAACTAGTCGTGGATCCCTTTAAGATTTAAGATGAAGTTGAGTTAATTTATTAATCTTCATTGGTTTCCGGCAAAAAGGTTTTTTTATGCATGCAAATAATTTTTGAAAAGTAGGGTGGGTGGGTGACGTTAACTCAGCGAGGCAACGTGGGAGAGATTTGGATTCAACATTATAATCATGCACAGTAATTAATATATAACAGCAGAGTAACAGAGTATTAAATAATAATGCTGCATTTTTGAACAAGTGCAGACAGTCCAACCACCCACAGCTTTGGTGAAGCCTTAAATGGCACTGGGAATCATCGCTCTTGGCATGTTTCCTCGCTCAAGTGAAACTTGCCAGCAGAAGACAACTGTTTATGGGATCTCACTCTGTATGAGTGCAAATATGTCTCCAAACATCAAAGGAAACACAGGAAGCCTCCGCGAGCTCGACATTTCCAAATCATTCACTACAAGTTAAGATGTTACGTTTTGAACTTTGCAAATGTTTTATCAACGCAAAGTGAGAAAATCTTGAAGCAGTGCACTTAAAAAATGATTAAACAAGGTTGTTATACCAAAATGTTTCAACTAAAATACAGCTGGGTATAGTTGTAGCTGGGAAAAAAAAAGTGTGGAAAGTTTAAAAAATGACTACACAAAGGCAGAATAGATGGCGGTAAGCTGTAGAATCTTCGAGGTTTTTTAGGCCATGTTTCATAAATTAGAGACAGACTCTGCCTCTTTCCAGTTCAAACACTCACCAAGTTAATCTGGTTGCTGTTTTTGCTCCCTCTGCTTATTAATTACAAAAGGGATCACACTGGCTACTATTTACTGCAAAACAGAGCTTAAATGAAATAATACAACTCATGCTTTCACAACTTTTAAAAAAGTTGGTAAAAGTAAATCCTAAAAGTCATTTTTAAATGATTAAAATTCTTAAGGGAAAACAGATATGCATGTCAACCTGAGTCAATGAGGAAAAAGTAAACACACCCGCCGCGACAAATTTTGAATGAACAACAATCATTGGACGGCTGTATTCAGATCACATCCAAGTCTCATTTTCTGCTGAACTTACAGAACCTGTCTGAAAATGAAGGAAGCAAAAGCAAACGCATAAGAGATATTCAATAACAGCTGAGAAGAAAGGCAGCTGGGAGCCTGGAAAGGGTTTCACTTCTATGGCTTCCAGTTTTATGTGAACCGCACTTAAGAGTCATTACCACCAGTGGAATAAAACACGGGACTGTGAACCTTCCCAAATGATTACGGTCTACCAAAATTACTCCAGGAGACCATCAATGACTCATCAAGGATGTCACCGAAAACCATCTAAAAACTCATCACTTGCTTCAGTTAAGGTCAGAGTTCATGATTTAATAGTATGACTGAGATTGGACAAAAATGGCATCTCTGGGTTGGTTCAAGACCAAAACAGCAGCAATGTTTGCCTCACTTTTACCAGAAAACCATCAATGCTCAACAACTGCTAACTCCTCAGACACATACAACAGGTAAGTTGTGTGTCTAAAATTTATGTGCTCCCTGTCATCAAACAGCACCACTTAGCTAGCTAGCTTAATTGGCAAATGCATCTAAAAGGCAGCTGAATTGTCAAAAAGCTAGCATGTTGTGGGTGTAGCTAGCTAAACTTGTGTTGAAGAGCATGCTAGCACATAAACCTTTGGCTAGAGCGCAGGTTTGCTTCAGTGCAACTCGGTTCTACATAAACTCAATTAAAAAAGAAAAACCTATTGTAATAGTTCAACAGCTATGCTTTTAAAAATATTTTTTATTTAAAGGGGAAAAAACTCCCCAGGCTTTAGCATTCATGCCAGTCCAAAAATGCTAAGCTAAACTGCTTGAAGATTCTCACTGGAAAACACTTTTTTTATTCCAAAATGTTGAGTTGTTTACAAATTTATAATACGTTTTCCTCCACAACTAATCAATAATTAATTATTGATTTCCCTAATCAATCACTTGAACGGGACAGCTGATAGTCAAACGGTCGCAAAGCGTTTAACATTTCACAGCTTCTAACTCCTCAGCAAGGTCACCGGCCAATCCGTACTTGTCATAATGAGGTACGTTCCCCTCCGCCTACCATCGCTGAGGCATATTACACACCGGGTGCTCGTTAGAGAAAATAATCAATTTTGCGGTGATTAAAAATTGCCTGACTGCTGCATGCAAAAGTAGCTGGATCAGCCAGATAATAAACAGTGAAAAGGAGCTAAAAGTCGTCTCTTTCCAGACTGCAGTGGCCCAAAGAACTGAGGAGTCAGCAAGAGTATGAAGATGCAGGGGGTAAACAAACTGATTTGGGAGAGGAAGAGTGAGAGGAGCAAGAGTGAGGCAAATGGCAGACGAAGAAAAGGAGAAAAAAAAATAGAGGGTGCAGTTGAGAGGTGGGAAAGTAAAGAAAGAGACTTATTGGAGATGGAACAATGATTTATATGCTTCTGGGCTAATGTAATGCAGATATAGTGGAAATAATTAAGACATTCAAATGGATATTTCTTTGGAAAATATAAACGGAAGTAAAATCTGATCTATAAAATGACAAGACACAGAGCAATGTTGGGGGAAAAAATGATTGGGTAAAAAGCCAAGGGCAAAGTAATACGACAGAAATAGATGGAGTTAGGAGGGGAAGCAGAAAAGTCGCAGCAGTGGAAGATAATAAAAAAAAGGAAGGAAGACAAAAAAGGACGAAGGAAGACAATTCATTCTACCCACCAGTGAGTCTATATGTGTACATATTAATGGTACTATGTAAAGGAAGAGGAACAAAGCTACTGGCAGAGTGTGCCCAGGTCTGTAAGTGGTAAAAATAATCTCGCAGTTGGAAGTGAGCGAGAGCACCTTCTTTTTGTTCCCCGAGGCTTTTGCTCAGAGTGCCAAAATCAGCTTTAGGCCTACCCACAATGATCCAGATGGATTTCAGAAAGTCATGACACAGGAATTAAAACGAACCCAACCCCAGACCGCATTCAGAGGTAGCTGAAATATAAGTATTTTTATTTCGACGTGCCAATCCGAGTGCTCTGGCTCCCCTGACCGTAGGGTCAGAGTAATGCGAAACGCAGACCGAGCGTTGCCGAGCAGAACAGGAATCGTTAGCAGCAGAGCGCCACGGCGAACATTCAAAATGCGGGATCAAGGCACAACACATGACAATTGCAGAAACGGCTCCCTCGAGCATCCCGTCACTTTTATGTCTCCCTCTCGTTTCCTCACTCAGGTCTGACGCCAAGAAAATCTGATAGTTTAGCAAAAAGCTTTAAACAGCATACCAAACAGAAAACTGACGATGGGGATTTGTAATACTAGAACAACTTCATGACGTTTTATTAAGTCCAATTTCTGCAGGTCTGACAAAGGCCACAAACATTGAGCACCAATTTACACCCATCAATCTATATATAGATGCGTTTCTAATACAAATGCTAATGTTGAAGAAACACAGGTTTACAATTGCAGAGGAGGCGTTGGAGCAACAAAACCCTTATACTTGGGAGTGGTTACGTTTGAGCCGTTTTGGGGAAATTATAGTCGTTGATTTTACAGAACAGATTCAACACGTTGTAATGATGCACAACGTTTTATGAACTGTGAGAACTCTGGGGGAGCCAGCGCCTCGTTGTCCAAAAAAACACATAAAAATAAACCATCATCCTTCTACTCTTTCCTGTCGTCGTCTTTCTGGTTTTCGTCAGTAACATCCAGTTGTTAGTCACGTAATTTATGTGATGCAGTTTTGCGAAATAAATCTGTTATAAACGTCTTAACAGCTGAAAAACCAAAGACGTCTTATTGAAAAACATGATTCTTTTTCAAACTGGTGTGTTTCCATTAAGCAAATCTATAGCAGCTCTTGGTTGTAATCGAGTGTGTGTGCGTAATTGTCTGTCTTCTGCGTCTCTGTATGGACTGATGGAGACTTTTAGATGGAGTTTCCTGCCTCTCAACCCAATGCCTGCTGGGATATGCTCCAGCCACTCCAGTGACCCGGATCACCTCTAAGAAGGCATAAAAATGGTTGAATGGATTCAAGTCAGAAGAGTCAAAATATTACAACACATTACTTCCTTTCTTCAACACCTACTGTTTGCAGTTTTCACTTCATACCCCGATGTTCATGAATGCAAACCCACTGGGTGTCTGAGTAAGTGTCTTGACAGCTGGCTAATGGTAAAAAGTCCCGTCCAAAGCTGCTTAGCTGCATTCATGGCTGCTACTTATTGACGATGAGTGGATTAAAGCAGTAAAGATTCATTCAGATGGATTGTTCTACTGAAAAAGTGTCAATATAGACAATTTCACTATAGACTAGTCCGATAAATCGAAGTGCGTTACTTAAATGTTTCATTAAATGGATAGGACATGGAAGCGTCTTGGCACAATGTGAAGGTTTGGAGTGAAAAAGAAACAAAGCGGTTCCTAAAACTCTTCAAGAATATTAATCACCACTTGTCTATAAAAACTAAAGCAATTTCAGTAAACAAGATATTTGTAAACCATAACCCACGTAACACAAAGTTACAAACTAAGCCACACTAATCAGCAACGCTGAATGCTTAGAGACATTCTTTCATCTCACAATATGAACAAAAAATTATGACAACGAAAAGGTTTAGGGGGAAACAAGCCAAATCAATTTGGGTGTTTCAGCATACTGACACAGTAATTCACTGAATCAGGAATGTAGCACAGACCTTTACCAATAAGAAACTGATGCGTCACTCATTGATACACGCTTTCCTTGAATCTTTTCTCTTTGAAGGCATTGCAACTTTTACTTACATAAAAAAAAAAAAACTCCAGGTTTCACTAAAAGCACTGCAGAATCTCTCGTCCAGCGCCGACGCGTGGTCCACCGTTAAAGGTTAAAGTTTGCAGACAGCCGCCCGCCGTGGTGCACGCGCCGACCGTGAGGAGACGGGGTCTTGAAGACGGCAGCGTTTAAAGCGGAGGGAGAGGGAAGGTAAACAGACGTAGATCCACGCTGCAGATAGCAGCCGGGGTCTGCTGAGTGCAGCTCTGCTAAATGACTGCAGGCTACTGTGGTGGGAAAACCAGGGAGGGAAGGGGGAGGAGGAGGGATCCTATTGGTGTTTGGGGTGTAAAGGTATGCCGGTCACTCCCACTGGTGCACACACACACACAAACAAACACAGGGGTTAAGAATGGCCTACCCACCCCCTTTTCGGTAGACCAGACAAGCGAGCCAAGCACTCATGCATTACTAACCTGTGCATTGTGTGACTTCAGGTGTTCATGCATAACCGCATTACCAAACTGGTTCGTGCTAAAGTTTCATTTAGTCAATGATTTTAAAAAAATTTAATTTAATGATCTACGCAACTCAACGGCCTCACGACTATGGGTAAAAATAAATAAATAAAAACATTTTCTCGCTTGTTTACAGTGCAGCCACTCAAAGATAAACCCCCAGCCAGCATTGACAATATTGCACCCCGGTCATGTCAAATTTGGGTCATCCTTTCTTCTTTCCCCTTGGAAGACGGATTGGGGAAGGCTGATATTAACAATACATTCTTTCACCACCGCCAGGGGAGGCAGGGGTTTATGGAGGGGCAAGAGACGGAGAGAGAGAGAGAGAGAGAGGTTGTTTGTCTAGTAGCCTGCGTGCCTGATGCCATGCATGTGCAAGTGTGTTTGCATGCACTAACATTCATGTCATGTCTGCGTCCTTGGGATTTAGCACGCACAACTGATCAATCCATTACAGGAAAAAGGGCCAGTGTTTGAAAGCGTGTGTGTCCCAAGGAAGAAAAAAAAAAAAAGGAGGTTTGTGACCCAGTAGGACGTAGTTGACAGTTAGCGACCTAGTTTGTGTCGGCTAAATGAAAATGTAAGCAGGGTTGTGACTTAACTATCAGGATAGTAATGGGCTGAGGAAGTCCAGATTAGAATCGTTGTCCACATTTGGAAGAGAAAATAAGCAATAAATAAGTTTTTTTTTTTGTGTGTGTGTGTGTGTGTGTGTGTGTGTGTGTGTGTGTGTGTGTGTGTGTGTGTGTGTGAGTGAGTGAGGTGATCAGATTTTAAGAGTGAAATTGTCTTTTTTTTTTTTAATCAAACTCAAACATTTAGTTTTTTGATTTATTAACTGAAAAATAGATCCTACACGTAAATGTTGGACTAGCATTCAGCCTAAAGTGAAATTGGTTATAGTGAGAGGATTTGGTAAAATTTTCAGCTGCATCTTCAAGCTTTCGTTTTATTTCTCAAAGTGTTGAAAAGTTTGACACAATTAAAAAAACAAGTAGAATCTTCCTCTTCAATTAATCTGAACAGGAAAGCACTGCAAGCACACGGTACATCGTTTCTTGAACTTAGACGATGTTCTCCGAAACCCACCATGTACTTTCCCAAACTGTCTGTGTTACCCTGGGAACTTTTAACAGGTATTTGTATACAAAGATTACAGAGATTACTTTTCATCAAGCTTCCAATTAATCCATGAAATGTACAGCAGGATCCGCTAGAGGACATTCCAAAGACGTCTTACTTACTTTCATGAACTTCCCGATTGCTTCCATGGCGCTAATGAGGTACATTTGGAAAACTCGTGTGGTTCATTACTCTACCGCAACTTATAGGGTAATTTCTTGGTTTTCAAGAACTTTTATTGGGTACTTCTAGTGAACTTGCACTGTTGTCTCCCAAAACCTGGAGTGCTGTGTCATTAAATCAGCCAAGGACTTTCCGTAAAGTAAGTGTCTGCTTTCCTGAAAACTACTGGAAGCTTTCCCAAAACTTCTCAGCTACTTTCTCTCCCTGCTTTATGTAGAGATGAAGCAACACAATCAGGCTCTGTTAAATCAGAAGATGAAGAGCAGGGGAGAAATGCTTCTCTTGCATTTGGTGTCACAAATCTGATTTTTTATTTTTTTTTGCGTGGTCGTTCATACTACTAATGAATGGTCCTGAAAGCGACGTCACACCGCAGCGTACTGCAGGAAAATCTGCTTGAGATGTGAAGCGGTGGGACTGTGATAAGATGCACTTCAGTGACACAAACTTCTTTCATAAGTTCAAAATCATAATTTCCAGACGATGTTTGCGTCCTGCTTTACCGCGTCTGGCATTTTCTGGTGCAGAATCATGACACACGTCTCTTACCAATGTCCCAAAAACCAGACATGACTGGTTTGAAAACAACTGGATACACATACGATTTAGAAGCGCATATGGAAGAGGAAAGAGGCCAAGTAAGGACCAGACATTAACTCTGAAAGATCTGCAAAAGAATCGCAGTCATAAAAGACTAGCTCAGATAAAAGATTCATTTTATTGACCTCTTAACGTTAAATGCCAAACAAAATATTTTGTTCAGTTCCAAGACTTAGACTCTAATCTACACAAAAAAAGGTTTTTCCCTTTATGTTGTGTGCTAATAAGCAATGAGTTACGATTTTAAGGCTTTCTGTTTGCTTCAAAGCAAATCCATTAGCACACACATCTCAACATAGTGTGGCTTTAAATTAGCAAATGACTCGTTATGCTTGTCATTTAGAGGCCGAGACGCAGAAAAACGGGGGGAGAAACTCCTTTATCTTTCCAAATACACTCCTCTTATTTAAAAAAAGAAAACATTAATGCCTAGATTTTCTTTTTATCTTCTGATCAGTATGGCTTTAATCGCTTCAGTATAAAAACAGGGAATATATAAGCACTGCTCAATGGACAAAATCGCTTTATGTCACATGAAATTTTAATGCAGCACTTCATCATTTCTAATTCAGGGAAAACTAAAGCACTTTTCTGATTTAGAATTAAACCAAATAAAAAATAAATACATTATTGTTTTACTGAGTTTCCAGAGGATTATCTTCTCTAAAGAGAAGTTTTCTTGTTACTCTCGCAAATATAATTTACTGTCCTTCAGGAGGAGCTGCGTTTCCATTAAAATTGTGTGCAAAACTTTGTAAATATTCAGGCGATAAGTCACGTTGCGCCATCAGCTTCCTGTCACTTAATGATTTCTTCTTCGTTTATTCTGCCAGCACTAACATCTGGTTATTGGTCACATGACCTGCATGATGTAGGAAAAAAAAGCTTTTCCATTCAAGTTTTGTGAAAAACTTTAATTTCAACAATTTAAACAATCTCATCATCTCAAAAACTCTTCGTCGAAAACTGAAATGTTCTTCAAAATTGAGCGAATTTATTCCAATTCGCTCAATTTGATGGTCAGTGGAGGCGCAGCAAGTGACTCAGTGCCATCTGCTGGGTTTCCTTAGATTAGAAAACTTTATTCCTAACAAACTGAACTTGACGGATCAGCTTGATAACTGGGATCAGTTGGAAATTCACCAACTCCTCTGAAACGGAGGTGCTGAATCTGAGCACCACCATTGCTTGCTGTTTGCGTTAACCCGTTGCAAACCGCAGTCTGTTGCGTGCGTGCCAGCGAAATAAGACTTAATCTTTCTTCCCCTTCATCTGTCTGAGCACCGGAATAATTCATTACAACAAATTATGAAATCAAAGCGGCGTAGTGTGATAAAAGCATCCGAGGCATCGGCCTAACCGATCAAGACCTCAGCTGTCAAATTAAGCAGATTCACCACAAGCTTCACCATTCGCTTTTAGTGCATCGTATCACCCACAAGTAAAGCAAAAACTACACCAACACGGTGAAATAACTCTACTGAAATGTAGAATTGAATAAAAGCCACCTGAAGAAAGACTTATAAAATATGCAAAGTGCAGAGGAGAAGAAACAAATATGAATATTTAAGCTTTTCCTCATGAATCATCGCAGCGCTATGAAGCAGGAACCCCGTCTGGCTGCAAAGACAGAGAGACGTAAGGAATGAAAAGTGGACTATTAATCCAAAGGGTAAACTTAAACATCTGGTGATTAATGGTCGTGGAGACTTGATAAATGCAATTAAGATGCGGCCGCTGTGTACGTCTTGGAAAACGAAGAGTGCTGGCGAAGGAGAAGCTTTTAGCAGCGATATAGATTTGAGGAGCGGGGAGGAAAGAAGTGGCTCGAAACGTCTTGTTTTTGTAAATCTGAGTCGGAGAGTCCATCTGTCATCACTGTACCAGCTTTGAAGTCCAGGCAGTAAAGCAAGAACACTTGGTGATAAATGTAGATTAATGAAAACCACGTTGGGCACCATGTTTAGTCGGTTAAAATACTCGCAACAACAAGTGAGTTAACTTGCTCCTCCAACGACCCAAATATGCCTCTATGAAAAGGTTTTGTTCTTTTCTTCAATTCCAGCAAGAAGGGCTCAGATGTGGTTGGGCGGTGGTGAATGGATTAGGTCTGAGGCGCATTTTAAAGGAGATCTGAGTCGGGATTAATTCCAGGATGTCTGAATTTTCTAAATTCTTCTCCCGTCTGGTCTCGCCAAAAAGTTGAAATGAACCTGCTAAAGTCTGTGGCTGAATTATATTCTGAGTCGGGTCTTCTGGTTCCAGTCCGGTCACGGGTAAAAATATCTTTTATGTTTACGATGAACTAGAGATGCTTTTTCCAGAAGATAGTTTATTTTTGTACATTAGACAAAAAACAAAAAATGTTTCCACTTTTTAAATTGAAAAATAACGGCAGCCATTGAGGATATTATTTCTCATCTTCATATAAACAATTAATGAATACCAGATGCTAGGAAAAAAGATATACTGAACAAAGAGAAATCAGAATAGTTTACATAGATTTACAAAAACCTATCCTCAAATACTGGCCCAAAAAAAAAAGTTGATCAGTGCATTCAAGGGGTTGAGAATAAATCAATAATAATACATATATATCATGATAAACACGTGATCCATGTCAGTAGAAAATATGTCTGATAGAATATTCAATATGTAGAAATATATTCACTGAACTCCGGTCCAGAACCGCACAGCATTCTGGGAGATGTAGGCAAAGGAAAGGCGTTAGAAGCTCAACCTCTCACCATCAGCTTAACGTTGGTAGAATCAACTGACTCACTCACTCTGGTTTCCTAGCAACTCACTAACTCTCCCTTTGGTTACCTAGCAACAACCTGTTGAGTAACTTGTGCAGCAGCAGTTTCAGGTTTCACTATTATGCTTGGTAACTACTGAAGAATAAAAAACTACAACGGGGTGGAGTGAAAATTGTGGATAAAACAGTGAAGGTCACACCACCAACTTGGCTGCATGTCAAATATTTTAAACTAATCAATAATCATTGGTTATCGACTGATGTCATATGCTCATATAATGATACGTTGTTCAAGTCGTGTCGTGTATTTCTTGGTGCGATTTTAGCAACTCAGTCTGATAGCAATCATTGTCAATCAGAAATAAATTTCCTTCATTTCCAAAGTTTCAAAATATCCTTTAGGCACTCATTTAATCAAACCGATCATAAATTGTAAAGTAGCGCAGAGGAGGATGAAAGAGACACCAAATTCTGTTAGTCTTTAAGAACACACCCCAGTATGCTAATGCTTCGTATGCTAATGCTTCGTATGCTAATGCTTCATATGCTAATGTTTAGCGAGGCGGGCGGCCGTTGACCAGGATCACTGTCTCGCGCGCGCACACACTCCGCGGCAACAAGTAAAATAAATCTTGCATAAATCTTTCCGGCCACGAGGATCTCAATCCGCCCAACACCAGAGGTAGACGGCCGGCTTCATAAATATGGAGGGCAGAAGAAGAGTGTTGAGGAGCGGGCGAGAGCATGAATATTTTATGGAGCGAAGGCCAGCGGGAGAGCGAGGGCGAGGACGGCCAGGGAAACCACAGCTGGTTCGCCTCCGTGTTATATAACAGACGCCCAAACAGACGGACACGCGAAGCGGGGAGATGTACAGAAACTTACACAATACTGACACACACACACACACACAGCAGGGAGTGAGAGGAACGCCGAGCGACGGAGAAGTGATGAATGGTCACACACACACGCATGTTCTGCGCGACCATTGATGCCGTCCACCCACGAGTGTTTTCATCCATCTTATTTTCATCGTACACAAGATGCCAGCCTGTGTCAGACAATACCGGGCGTAATACACACATAAACACACACAGAGAGAAAAAGAAAATAAAAAAGGCAAAGGGGATGGATAGAAAAGAGGAGACGGACAGAGATGTAAGATGGGGTAGCTGTAACTTTGCATGGAACAAATCAAACAGAAGCAAATCACACCTGAAATCTTAATAATCAGAAAACGGTCAAATGATGATGTGGGAACATCTGAGCTCCCAGAATGCCTCATTTTTCATCAGTTCTCTGTGTTCCTAAAGAACGTGAGTACAAATACCTGAAAGGCTGCAGAGCTATCGTTCCTAAAACACAACATGTGGTTCAAAGGAGGCATTAATAATTCACTTCGTCTGCTTTTAAGGGATTTCCGAACATCTTATCGTCGTGTGGATGTGAAACAAACTGTAAGAGTCGCGTCGCTTCGTTGTTCTCGGTGAAATTACTTGACGGATTTGCAGCCGCGCCATTTTAAATGTACAAAAAATATGTTATAGATATGATGCTAAGAGAGGAGACATGCATATCAATCCAACTGTATCCTGTTTTAGGTTAAGCTAGGGGTTCCCAAACTTTTCCAAACCATGGCTCCCGAATCAGGATTAGTTTCATTAGTACGGACAATGCAATCATCAACTTTTGTTGTCTCTACAATAATCATATTTGCTTAGCATAAATGCTGCCTCGTACCTTCTGATATTAGCTGGCTACACTAAGCTAGCTTGAGGAGCAAAGCAGCTTGGTGAATTTGCCTGGCAGCCAATCAGAAAGCTGAGAAAGGCAAATAACATTTTAATAAGTTTTTCTACCCCATATTCTACAATATTGATTGAAGAAGAGATTAGATTTTATGACTAAAAACAATATGATGAACGTTTTTTATTAAATTTTTTCCACCCCTCCAGTTTGAAAAACTCTGGGTTAAGCTACAGTGACCTGAAATCGTAGGAAACCCCAAAGAATATTCTGTTTTAAAGAAAATTCATTCTTCTGCCGCTCACTTTCAGCTGTGAGGTTTTTGAGGAGGCTTCCTTCAAGTTCAGCCTGTGTCAAGTCAACCTTCAACTCCCAAACTAGATCCAGGTCTTGACTTAAATTCAGACCAGCTCACTTCTCAATTCACACTGGAATAAGTGTGGTTCAGCTGCAATCCAAGTAATCGCCATCATCCTGTCGTCTTCTTCGTCTTTTCCGCCCAATGCTGTGAAACCACCTCATCCTAACGCAAACAAAGAAACATTTATTTTCATAATCCCAATTTATGTAATTCTATGGTCAGTGGAAGCTCAACTAGAGAAGAAGGTTCACCTTCCAGTGGGACCAGAACCCTAAACATGCAGCAACAATGAGACGGTTTGGATCAAAGTGTGTCAAAGTCTAGACTTCAATACAGGAGAGAATCTGTGGAGAAATTCTTCAGAATTGATGTTCAAAGAAGGGCTGAAACAATTAATTGTGATTAATCGATTATTGAAATAATAATCAACTAATTTGGTAATCGATTAATCCCTAACTGGAGTATACAGATTAAAGAAACAAGTAGTAATTAAGTCAAAACTGTACAAAAAATACATATATTTTGCATTTTGGATGAAGACCCTTCTTTGTCTGTAAATGTATTCAACTCAGAATAGTTTTATCTTCACCTGGTTCAAATTCTGTAAAATTCTCCCATTAAGCACCTTTTACTACCCAGTTATTAATTGAAAAAAGTCAAATCAGCCCTATAACTGCATTGATGTTTATTTTGCTTTTTTTTTTTTTTTTTTTTTTTTTAGGTCCTTTGCTACAAATGTTCACCCGTATGCTAAAGGAATGCTATCTTATTGCATTTTAGGTAATAAAATGTTTATTTTTCTTCTTTTATAAAGAAATTGAATAATTTGTTTACTGGCGATTTTTACATATTTTCAATATTTTATCAAAGAAGCTCTAGTGGTTAAATGAAAAATCTGAAAAATGTGCTAACTGTTTTATCAGACTATTTAATCGATTATTCTGACATCAGGGCTGCAACTAATGATTAACAAAATAACCGTTAGACGAAGTCCCAGTTCGAATCCAGCCTGGTTGAGCTTCAGCTGAGTTGGGAAGAGTGGGTGAATAAGTCTGTCTCTACATAAAGCAGAGCAAAGTTGGCACAGCTGTGATTGTAGTGAAGGGTAATTCCACAAAGTACCGGCTCAAGAATACAACAATACGAATGCGGCCACCTTTTTAAGATTTATATTCGCGAGACGTTTTGAAAAGAAGCATTGTTTCCCTTCCTCCTTTATGCACCACTTTGTGTCGAGCTGTCACATAAAATCCAGACTGGACACACTGAAGTTTGTGGTTACGACGTGACAAGATGTGCCTTGAAAACGTCGCGCTGCGTATTAATCGGCTTCCGCTCCCTCAGAACTTTTAAAAGTACTTTCCCTTTGCACACATCCTGTTCAGAGAGCTTTTATCAAACGGAAAACAATTGATTAGAGACAATAAAGAGGAGCGCGAGCGAGCAGAAGAGCAGCGTCGCTCCTAATCGAGTTGTATCCAGTGTTGCTCGTACACACAAGGTGAAACGGAATGAAATTTTAATACCGCATTTCCACATTCAAATAAGCATTCACTCTGCAATATTGATGCAACATTGACGGATTCATCAAAATTTTATATGTGCAGCAGAGACGAGGCGGCGGCGACCTCGATAAGCCCGAAACGTCAACGTGCCGAACGAACAGGCGGCTGCAAAACTCAGCAACTGGAGCAACTTGCTCTACAACTTTTAGTAAACTAATGTCTCAGTAGCTTAGCAACTTACAACGCCTTCATTAGTAATCGATTGTCATCTTTACCCGTCTTCCCTTGAAGACCAGAGGAAACAATGATGCCAGTCCTGGCCAGACTGATTCTTCAATCAGGCACAACAACACTCTTCGGTGGGGAAGTTCTTTCCGCAGAAAGAAAAGTCAGAGCTAGCTGTCTTCAGTATCAGTCAGGTTTTTAAAAATGAAGTCAGAGGAAGAAGCTGTTTGAAAACACAACATATTTCTTCTTAAGACAAGCTTAGGGTTCACTGAGCCGGGAGAGGCGAGAGAAAGCAAAACGCAAAGCCTCTAAAAATTGGAGATTTAGCCACAAAACTTGTACTTCTCTTGAAGTTATCGAGGCGATCGAGCTTCTGATCTCTCGCTTTGGGACAAACCACAACCACAAGACATACAGTGCTGTGAAAAAGGGTTTCTGCTTTTTTGTCACCAATTCGTCAAACAGATTTTAATGTTGGATAGACATAACGAGTGCAAACAGAAAACTGAACTCTGTAGAAATGGTTCAAATTTGCCAAGTTTGAGGATTTGTGACTATGAACGGCGTTCTTCAGGTTACGTTACAAAATTATAGACCAGATTTTGGATAGGCTGCTTCAAAACTTAACTTGTTTTCTGGGGAGTTTTGAATCATTCATGATGCATAACCAAAGTTTTAACCAATAGTTCTGCACTGACGGCTGGACTTTCTCCTGCAGGATGTTCTGGTAGAGAGTCGTGACTCTGTCGATTACGGCAAGTAATCCAAGGAGCCTCACATCCCTACAGTACCACCACTATGTCTGTTTCTGAGACCACGTGTAACATGAACCAGAACCAGAACCAAACACGGAGCATTCGGCTTCCAACATCCACCAATTTGGGACAAACTTTCAGAAAACGGAAAAGCTGCCAAAACACCAAGTTCCTTTAAAGAAAAGCTGAAGACATTTAATTTCCCTTTGGGATCAATCAAGTAATCTTGAATTTGATTAGTAGTTAGTGGAACATCGATCAATATATTTGATGATTTCAATGATGACCGAATGTAATATTTATTGCTTGTTTCACAACATGCTACTGTACTTTGTTTATATGACCTAAAGCACTTTGAACTTTTTATTTATTTAACCGAAATAAACTGTTTGTGATCTTGTTTTCAGGTGGTTGTGGTTAAGTGGGTCTGTTTGAGTCTGGAATAAAGTTTCTGTCTGTTGTTATTGTTGCTGTTATGCAAAATATGGTTTGCGGCCGGAGGCGTTGTGTTGAATCTTTTTCAGACTCCGAGCAGAAGACATTATACATTTATGCCGTTTCTTTTTTTTTGGGTTGGCCAGAATTAGCCATCAGTGACGCACTAACTATAGTCTTACTTATTATATCCTTGCACCTCGGTGCAGATTTCAGCACACACCACGTTTCATAAAAGTAGCTTACTATAGCAGAGATGCAAGTGATGAATTAAAGGATTCACTCTCTCATTTATAGCCTCCCCAAAGTGTTAAGGGTTGTCACATTGCCTTTTTCTTTTCTTTTTTACCTCCCTTATGTCCATTTAGTGAACAACCAGGGGTAATTAGAATAATGGCAGGCAGCTAGAGCATGAGTCACATCAGGAGCAATAAAAAAAAAAGAGCAAGTGAGAGAACTAACTGGTTAAAATTGGACTAGAGGAAAAAAACACAAAAGCTACCTTAGACCATAAATGATAGCCTGGGTCATTTAAGAGGGTGAATATGCATTCACACACACACGCACACACACAGGTTGAACGCTCACAAAAATCAGAGGTGAATAATAAAATCTCAATGTCCCACCTATTAAAAACAACAATACGTTGAAAACTTCTCTCACAGCGAGACGCAACCCATCAGTTCCATCGAGTGTTTAGTTAACACAGAGCAGGGTGATTTAAAAACAAGCCTGCAAGGTGATTTTGATAGCACACACACACACACAGACACGCGTAAGCATGTTCAAGGTGGCCGTCACACACCCATATCAGCGCAGTCCATGTAAACACTCTGCCATCCGCCCCTGCTTCAAAGCCTCTCCCACCCACTCAAAACACAGCACACACACACACCCAGAACACACACTCCTACTCCATCCGTTTACACGCCCATCCTCGCCTCTCCTCCTTTTTTTTTTCTTACATCCATCCGTCCGTTCTTACCTTGCAGCAGGCTCTGGAGGTTGAGCTGCGCCTGCTGGTGCAGCTCCTCGACACACTCCGGCCTGCTCCACGAGCCGAACACGTTCACGCTCTGTTGCCATGGAGACCTGAAATGGGCCGCGCTGCCGCCACCGCCGCTGCTGATGCTGCCTCCGCCGCCGCCACTGCTGTGGTTACCGTCGCCGTGGCTGCTGACGCTGTTGCTGCCACCGCGCCTTCCGCTCTCTGCCTCGAGACCGCTGGCGGCTGGAGGAGGAAGGGAGCGCGAGGGAGGAGAGGAGGGCACGAGAAGGAGGGAGGGAGGAACAGTGAGAGGAGGTGATGGATGGATGGAGAGACGAGGAAGGGAAAGACCGAGATGAAGAGAAGAGCAGGAACATTGTAGGGAAAAGTGGGAAGGAAACGAGCAAAGAGGAGAAGAAAAGAGTTGATGAGGAGCGGAAGGGTGGGGTGGAGAGGAAAAAAAGAAGGAGAGAGAGAAAAACACACACATATAAATAAAAATGCATGATTTGCATAACTAATACCCAGAGACGTAGATTACATAACATTATCTGTTGTCAGGGAAAACAAGGATCTAGGAAGGAGGAAAAGGATTCATAATTTTAAAAAAAAACTTCATTAATGCGAAGAGGAGGAGAGAAAATAACAGAACGGATTTGTAGGGGAATCAGAGAGGATCGCTTAATTAGCCGGGAAAAAGGAGTTAGAGGAAGATAGAGGGAAGGCAGAGGGAGGGGATGAGAAGGAAACATCAGGCCAGAGCAGGATGAGAGGATAAAAAACAACAAAAAAATGAAGAACTGGGAGAGAAGGGAGATCAAGAGTGGGAGGAGAAGAATAAATCTGATACTAGAAGGGAGGAGGACTGAGATGGTGGGGTTTATTAAAACAAGAGTGGAAAACAAGGCAGAAAGAAACCAAAACATGACGGGAATGTATGGTTCTGATCCGTCACACAACGTTTCTAATTAATGAGCCGATCTGAGATGTTCAGTCACTGACGGTCTCACAGCCTGACATGTCACTAGCTGCTTTTCCATCAACGACAAAAGTGCGCGCAAATTGAAATCTCCTAAATAAATTTGCTAATTGGAAACCAGTTTAAAAAAAAAAAATAAATAAGTTTTTCGATAAAAAGTTGTTGCGCTAGAATGAGGAGGTTTTTCCATTGTATGGACACAGATGTAACTACAATCACACAAGTCACGTGATCAACAGCCGGATGTTACTACTGGCAGAAACGATGAAGAGGACAGGAATTTGATCAGTGAAAGCCAGGTGCTGCACAAAATAACACTCTTCGGTGTGAATGCAGTAACTGAGAGAAGAACACTCATGGGTAATGTGATTAAAATAAAGTCGTCGCAGAGAGTGAAAAGCGTTGTAAGAAACTGTTCAAAAACAAACCGCAAGATGGTGAGAGAGAGTGAAGCTTTAAGTAGACAACAGGAAGGCTGAATGTATTACAACACTGTTTTCCCACACAGACCGAAGCGGTCTTCTTCTAAAATCTGATGATCTCAAGTATCTGTGCTTTACATTCAGTATAATACCAATCTGCAGTTCAATACATTACTGATATGCAGATGAGTTTTAACTTGACCTTGGTTCACTCTGATTCAATCTGAACCGACAGAATAAAATTATTTTCTACGAAGGCCTTCAACCTACAATAGATCAGCCGTTCAGTAATTAAACCTTAAGGATAAAATTATATTTCCTAGTTTATGAAGAACAAACACAAAGTTAATTACACATGGAAATAAAGAGCTGGCGAAATTCAAAGGCTACAATCATAAGACACGTTGCTCAATCAACAAAAACTCAAAAATAGACACTAAAATATTCCAGAAGTATTGACAGACCACATTGTAGGCGATCAAAGCCGAGCAGATAAAACCAGCCAGCAGTGTATTTAGGTAATTTTATTTATATAGCACATTTTCAGCAACAAGACAATTCAAAGTGCTTTACATGAATTAAAAGGAAACAGAAACAAAGTAACAAACCAAAGGAAAGAAGAAAAAGAATCGAACAATGTTGATCGAATGTTTATAAACTAGATATTCCTGATCTGGGTTATTAGGTACAGTAAGTATAATTACTCTCACATACCAAATAATAAGGCGTTTTATTCCATACCAGCAGCTGATCTATGTGAACAGAACAAGTTAATCTCTCTTAACATGGCTGCTTCCCGTCATGTTCACGGTTTGTTCCGAGTCTCAGTTCAAATCAGAGTTTGTTTGAATCCAGAACAGCTTCCTGCCGCCTTGGATTCAGAACCTTACGTGATACAAACTGTGACAGCCGACGGCCCGATGGGAGCAACAACAACAGAGGTATGATTCTTACTGACAATGGCTGCAGCTAACGCTACATGTTTGATAAGAAATGGTGAAAGCGTTGTTAAGATTTTTGGCTGCTTTTATGAAAATCCTGTTAACCCAAACTTTCAAATTTAATACTGTTTTTCTTTAGACAATGAAGTAAAATGTGGAGCAGTATTTTCTCTCTAACTACTTACTATGTCTTACTTACATGTTAGCTTGGAGCAAATCAATGCATTCTGTGAAACCTGCCTACGACTCTTTGTGTTATGAAATGTCGTGGTAACTATGGATACCAGATGGAAATGCGATATTTCCTGCAATGCTTGTCTGCCCCCCCACACCCCCAAAAAAACAATTGTTTGCTATATTTTTGAGTCAGTTAACTACTTTTCTAACTCCTGGAAGCAGCTAGCTGCGCTGAAATAGACATAAGCATAAACTGCAAGTGGAGACTTTGTTCAACAGTGCTATTTATGCTTCTCCTGCTCTTTTTTGTCATCGTTTCATTTTAAGAAAATATAAACCGTTCTTTGTTGTTGCTTTATTTATTGAAATGTAAGACTGCGGAGGAAAAATTAAAGTCGTAAGATGTTTTTCTAGGGAAGAGATGACTTAATCCTTGCGAATCTAAAACTTGGAAAGGATTTTGAATGCCTGGCTGGCCAAAAGAAATGCTCCCAGTTTGCTAATTCTTTTGGGATCAACTGGGGAAAAAAAAAAAACAGAGCAAGTTTTTGAACAGGATATGAGTCACTGCATCTTTGAAAAAACTTGCTGTGTTTAACCAAGTTCAATTAATTAAAAGCAGATTTGAAAACATCAAAAGTCTGCTTTTGGTTTAAGGCACTAGAAGGATACTAATAAATCAGAGAATGGAAAAAGCTTAGATTGTAAGAGACAAATATTTTGTGTTTTACTTACTTAATGTTTTTCTACCGCAAGAAGAATTTAATCAATCTAACTTAATTAAGAATAAAAGTAAAACCGATTCTAGTGGGTCAGATTTGTACCATTCTTGAACTGCTCTGCACAAAATCCGTCCTGCGGGAAACAAATGATCCCAAAACTGCTTTAAACACTCCTGATCTACAGGGTGTGAAATTTATACCAACCTACAAAAACAAATTAAATAAAGAAGTCAGAATGAAAAATGTTTTAACATTTATCCACCAAAAACAGTTGGATTGTCATATGAGACAAAAAAAAACAACAAAGTCCTTCAGTTAGATCCCTTTCTAACACAAATCACTTTCGACGAAGATATATGTACTTCCACTTTGCGTTCTTGAGAAAAAGCAGACAGGAACAGGAATGCCGCCTCGTTCAGCGTGAAAACATTTGGTAGCTGTCTCGTCTGTTCTAAAAGCAGACATCTTCTCTCACAAAACCAGTCACAGTGTGTGGAATCACAATTTCACCCTCTCAGCTTCCGGCTTCATTTTCCTAATCGGCTTTCACACAATCAGCTTCCGCCAGACGGAGCTGCTGCTGCTGCTGCTGCTGCTCGGGACGCAGACGCGTCGGGTAGCGTCTCAGTCAGCGCTGAGCATTTTCACTTTTGCGCAGATCGGCTACGTTCTCCGTTGCATTGATCCCTCCTGAAATCAGTCTGTGTTCGCAAATTGTTTTGCTGGTCTTGTCAGAAGGTAAGTGTCCCATTTGGGAGTCCGTGTTTACCCTAATGCACTGTATATGTATGTACACTGGAAGATTTTTTTAAAATCCTGAAAATTACCAAGACATTTTCTGTTCAGCCATTTCCGTAAACCGGTTTTTACAGTAATTTATTCGCTTTCCTGTAATAAAATTTTTTTTTTTACATTTTCCACATTTTTACAATAGATGTCCTGTTGCATTCACAAACTGTTAAAAAAGTGAAACGTTACGTAGTTTTACAGTAAATCTCACAAATGTTGACATAAAGTAGAAAATACAGGAAGAAAGCGTTAAAAGTCTCAACAGAAAGTTCATTCACACTCCTCAGTACAAAAACTTTTTTTTTTTATTGGTTTGAATAAATAGGTCCTTTAAAGAATAAATTAAACAAAAATGAATGTTTATGCTATTTTTTTTTATTATGTATTGTGTAAACTGTGACTGTATGATTCAGTAAAGCTAGGAGTTTGGTTTCAAAGGAATTTAATTTGGAATAAAAACCGTCTCTATTGTGCCACCCTGAACTCCTAGTCTTCCCTGGAACGTCTGCTGCCTGGGATTTTATTGCTCTTTCTGTAAACTACATCCACTGACGCTAAAAGGGTTACCGGACGTGAAACTCCTCAGTTGCTCAGCGCATGAGTGTGTGAGGAATAAAAGGAAATAAGTGATGCCTTCAAGGTGCCTACAATCTATACCTTAAGTTGAGTCACTACAAACTGCAAACTTAAAATGTGTTTTAGTGGCACAGACTTTCATAATCGGCTTACTTGTGGCAGATTAACTCATTTAACTTTGGTCTGAACTTCAATATTGTTCTGCAGCCGTCACTTCATATTCTTTTGCAGCATTAAACTTTAACACAAAATGAAACCTTGTCGATCTAAGAAGAAACTTGTATAATTAACAAAACTTTGAACTATGTGTCCAAAAATACAAAACAAAATCTGTTGGGTATCGATTCCTGAAGTAGAAAAAAGAAAGGTTATACTATCTCAGTATCTGCATTGATTTATGTAAAGCGTTATATTGATCCCTTCTTATTTCATAAGCTCTTGTGAAAAGAAAGCCACATCCTTTCTGTCCGAGTGTGGCTATTTTGTAATATACTCTGTTCACAAACGAAGCTGTTCTGCTTAGCAACTAATTTCCACCTCCGCCGATGTTTAATCAAGCAGTGAGTGTTTGAACCTGTGGGATTTTAAAAAGTTAAATGTGTGGCGAGTGTGTTGGTGCGCGCTCGCAAGATGGATG